GAACACCCCTACCCCACATGAATACTTCACAGTGCTACACAGAGTTCCTCAGTATCGCAGGAAAACACTTTGGGTATGTCATCTTTGCATAGCTGAATCATTGGCTATTGGGAATCTGAAACCTGACCTCCACATTCAAAAGCGCTATAAACATTCCCTAGCTATAGTGTGGCAACATTAATGTTCTTACTACAATTTTTCTTCATATTATAATATAAGTTTACCATCATTATAATTATTATTCTCATCATCCATATTTTTTTGCCACTCTGTTACTGTTCACTAATAACACTGCATTTCCATATTAATTTTATAAAAGAACTTTATCAATGCGCCACTAGTTTCTATCCACTCTACACGATTATGCTGATTAGTCATTTTCTCACACTTATTACGTCATCCCAACTTCTGCCCATCAGTCTTTCCGATTCTCAATTAGTTGTCACCGTCTAGATTACACTTAACACTGTGTAGTCAATTTTCCAGGACAAATGTTACCAGAGCTTGATTGGTTGTGTTATTATTATTGTTTCTTGGGTTCCTAGTGCAACATACAGCTTCAACTGCACGTCTCCACTTGCCACTTCTGTCTTCCTTCTGCTGTACTTTTCACCTGCGTCCATGTTAGTTAGTCCATACTCTTTCGACTCCTCTTCACACGATCTCCTCTATGTCACCCTTGCACTGACATCCCACTCGCCGCTTCCCTTTCGGCCTGGTTCCACTCGAGCAATGGCCTGACGCGCGCGTGATGTCACCCAGCAGCGGCCTCCTCCTTAGTGGGTGTCCAATCCATCTCCACTTTATCCTGCATATTTGTTTAGCCACTGGTTCTTGTTTTGTTTGTTCCCATAGTTTCTAGCTGGTGATTCTTTCCCTCCCAGCCATCTGATCTTAAGTAAAGAGTGAAGACAGTTGTTGTTAAAGGTTTGCAACAGGCTGTTGGAAATATTCTTTGTAACTCGCCAAGTTCCTGATCCGTATAAAAGAACTGACTTGACGTTTGTATTGAAGATCCAACCGAAGTTTGTTGTTGATGCTGAGTGACGAGGATTTACAGATTGATTTCAGGTTGATGAATGTGTTTCTCGCCTTCCTGATTCTCGCTCGATTTGACATCCTCGTCTGTTCCTCCTGTAGTTGAGACAATGCTCCCTATATAAGTGAATGAAGTAACCTCTTTCAAATCCCTCCCGATGATAGTGATTGGAGCTGGATGTTGCTGCTGTTGTTGTTGTTGGTGGTGGTGGTGGTTGGTTATTTTCATAACCAAAGTGGTGCAGAAACTTTAGTGCATTCAAAACTAATAAATAATTATCAAAGAGGAATCAAAAATCGTTTACCAGGATAAGGTGAAGATGATGATGTCACCTTGTGCTTTCATAATCCTATCTAATTAACGAAATTTGGCCTCCATCTAGACAATAGATACATCGATGACGCTTTCATTATTTGTAATGAGAATTGTGATCTAAAAAACCTACTTCAAATCTTCAATAGCGCCCACCCAACACATCCATCTCACCCTGGAAGTTGAGACTAACTCAACGTTTCATTTCCTACACGTTCAATTACGAAGGAATGCAAATAACTCACTAAGAAGACCCATAAACAAAAAGCCCATATGGAACGGACAATTCATTAACTTTCAAAGCTGTGTGCCTATAAGCAGAAAGAGATACCTGATATACTCTTTTTCCCCGAGGATCAGAGAAATTTGCACTTAGGAGTCAATTCACGAAGAATTAAATGTTCTCCAAGGGACCTGAATGGTAAATACTTTCCCACCCAGATTCATAGACAAGAATCTAAAATCAAAGAAAACACCTGAAAAAGTCTTAGTTGCCCCCAAAAAGATGCTGATATTGAGCCTCGACTTTAAAAGTGATATCGAAGCATAAATCCTCCATAGACACCTTTTGAAGTGTCTCATTAAAGCATACTTCGCCGCCAGCCTACGAATAACATTCTCCTGCAAGAAACGATTCACCCAACACGTGAAAAACAAGCTGTCGCATTGGGCCACTTCAACACGCATATACAAGTTAACTTGCTCGTGTAGAACTGAGTACATTAGCCGTACCATGCGTCCGTCTGTAAAACGCGCGCGGGAACACTATGCGGCATGGTTAGCAGAGGAGGAATGCAAGGGTGTATACAGTTCGATAACAGAACATCTGGTGAATTCAGGACATTCGCCCCCATTTGAAAAGTCGTTCAAAGCCATATTCAAGATCCGATCCAACCTAACAAAGAGAGTGAGATCAAGACACCTAGGAATAGCTGAGGCACTGGGAATCCAAAAACTCAATCCTACTCTATTTGTTCAAAAGAAATACATTCAACTGTTGTCCCTACCGTGTCCATCATGAAAAGTCAGTCTCACCAATAATGATCATTCTTTTACGTTTCTTGTCCAACCTTCCCATTTGTTTCTGTCATATTTACCTTTTTTTCAATCCCTATCTGCATTATTAGATTTCGTTACTGTTTTTGTCCTTTTAAATGTCCGAACCTCCTACCCATTTCATTAATACTGCTTCCTCTACCTGTAATTATACAAACTGACGAGTTTTCCAGTAATTATAAGCCTATTTTGTCTTTTCTACCTTATCTTCCTGATTATTACTCATTGAAATTTTAATCTGACCTTTGACCCGAAATAATTCTGGAACCTTCTCACACATTTGACTTGTCTTACCCCTTCTCCCTCTTTTCAACTTTAAAAGCGTATAAATTGATGATGAAAACTTAAACTAAAAAAATTGTCATGCTTTCATTTTGGATACCTCAATTTTATAGTATCTCTTCTCTATTACCACTCAAACATTAAAGTATGTTATTATCAACCATAAAACCATCGTAATTTCAGGTAGTCTGCAGCTGATGAGAACCTGTGAAATAGAAGGAAGATAATTGTTTATCTTTCCTAGACACACTGCTTACTCGACGGCTTGATGGGTCAATAAAAATATCTATTTATATAAAACCTAGCTGGACAGGAGAGTATCTCAATAACCACAGTTTCTGCCCTCTGAGGTACAAAAGAGCCTAAGTAAGGTGCCTCTTCAGTAGAATCCAATGAATATGCACTGAAGACACACTTGATGAAGAAGAAAAAAAGTTGACACAAACTCTGGTTGATAACAATTATCCAGACAAGTTCATCAGGAGATATAAAGTAGTCAGTATTATAGAGAAGATTTGTAGCTCAGGTGGATGACTTTGATGTGGTTTTGTTCTCTGAGCTGGATGGTTAGTTTGCGAAGCTTTCATCACCTTACTGGGTGACATCTTCAGCGCATACTTCAATTTGAAGTGAGCTTTTAGATTTCTCCACGAGTTTATTAATCATCTCTGATGATTAACCACATCAAAGTAGTCAGTGGAACACCAAGACCCACTCTCCAACTCGCCCCTAAGAAAGATGTGTACATCAAGCTACCCTATATGGGGCATCAAAGCAGCTTGATAACTAGACAAAGACTGAACGCTGCTGTTAAAAAGACTTTTTATGCAGCTAATATTATAATAATAGAGAACGTAAAGCCATTATATCTATCTAAGCCCTTCGAACATGCGAAAAATGACGTCACATCCCACTGTATTTACCAATTTGAATGCACGTGTGGACACACATAAATATGTGGATACACATACATCGATCTCTGCAAGTAAATGCTTGTTTCACAGCATATTCCTAAATGGCTCCAAAAACAAATAGAATCTTCAGAACCCATTAGTGGTAAGAACGGGTAACCCAGATCCTCTATTGCGAAACATATTATAGAGACAGGACATCAAATTGACGTTAACACATCTTTTAAACCTATCTATAAAACGTGTTTGGGGTAGGGCGTATTCTAAAGTTTTTGGAAGCCCTAGTTAGCAGTTAGGAAGTTTAAACCACCTTTATGCGTTCAAAAACAATTCGTCATCACATTAAACTTTCCTTGGTAAATTTTGTTTTGATACCAGCTAGGGAAGGTGTACTATTACCTTTGTTATTTGGTTCAGTGATCTTCATTGTTATTTTGACCTTCAATAAGTTCCTTTAACTTGGCCTAAGTTTATTTTATCACCCCTTAACTCTATTAATTTTATGTATATTTCTATAACAAGTCCATGTGTGATCAGATTGTTCGAAATGTGTTGCGAAAATACGTTACACGATTCAGAAAAATTACGTCTTCTTATTGCTTTATCTAAATTCATAATTGTTCTAAAATCTTATCCATAATGGAATAGTAATAATAAATTGTGAAATCGAGGTTAAAATGTACAACTATAATAGAGCAAGATATTGATAGCACAGTTACCAGTACAAATAAAAATAAAAGGATAAGATAATATTTACAGTTATACGGTGTCACTGGGGGAAATGACTATTTTAGATTGGGGGGGGGGGTGAAGGCCAAGGGAGCTAACCAGATCAAAGAAACTCTTTCTGAAGACGGAGATTGGGTTGAAAAATCATTATGGTAACTGATTTAACTGCGCTTAGCAACCTAAAACGTACTAAACAAGGGAATTGAAGTAACGCCTTGTTTAGAATTGTGAAAGACGAATTTTTATCACCATTATACTCCGTATCACTACACTAGGTATGTCAGTGCAGAAACGTTGACTGATTTTACAACTGCTTTACCTAACCACTTTGGATAATTCTTGACTCTTATATCAACCAGAAATTTTTAACAATCAGATGCTTGTGAACAAAATGTCTAGTAGAAGTTATAGCACTATGCCAAATTACTCACGATATACACTTAATATCGGCTGTGTGTGTTTGTTCACACATGCAATTCACAATTTATTTTACACCTACAATAATTCCATGCCTAATGGAAATATACAAACCTGCTGCACGCCTCATTAAATCAGTGATTAACAATGAGACCACTTCATAATATACAGATTAATTATATCACACCATATTTCACTCTCTCTCTCTCCCTCTCTCTCTCTACTTCTCTGCCAACTGCCAACTATTCTCACAGATCTATCCACGGAAGGAAGTCCACTATGATTTTCATGATATCACAGGTTATCGAGATAGTTTATGGTTTAGTCTACCAATGGAATTAGAAGTCCTTCAAGGTGAGTTAACAAAATATTCCATTCAGATCGGATGATTTTCTTTAAAAAAAATAGAATGCAAATAATAATAACTGAGTGAATCTGCTTTCATCATAATCTAATTTATTGATTGTGTGTGTGCCGGTATTTTAGTAAAAGAGTTTAAAATCGATTTTTAATAGATATATACGCACAATTTGTACATTCTATTTTATTTCTGCATACCATCACTTCTACTGATATGGTGTGATGTTGATGAACTTGTGACCTGTACAAAACAAAAGAAGAAAAAATATCACCGCTTAATTGTAATGTAATTACTGTGCTTCTTGTGTCATGTAATAACAGAAGATGGCACAAACTCTTTCAATGTGTTGACGGTTTCTTGTGTGAGAGAATTTTATGGTTGTGAAAAGACAGGCAGTTCAGATTAAAAGAAGATTAGTCGGCAGTGGCTAGATTGACTCATGTCGCCTATAAAATAACTGAATCAGATATCCCTGAGAGATTAGTTGTTAGATGTTCCTCTTCAACTGTTTCAATGTTAACCTTGTCGATTAATATCAGATAAATAGATTTTATGCTTAGTGTGGCAAAGTTAAACTTTAAGCACCACTAACTAACTAACTACCGATCAGCGAATGACCTCGAATGCACCAATCACGTGAAGGAGGTACTTTTGTGCCCTGATTACATATATATTTATGAAAAAGATGCATTAAAACTTTAGAAAAGTGTTACAGAGGATACCTTCCTCTCACATGTGATAAAGAAATAACTCTTAGTGTTAGGTCGGAGTGTGGTGAGAGCAGGCCGTGAGAAAATATGAGCAAGGCTGATTCAACAACCAATCGCAGCAAAGTTAAAGTGGCAAAATATGATTCGCAGATAGAGAACTCTATTTGTCGAGGAATCCCGGAACAACCAATCAGAAGCCTGCGTTTGTCTACTTGCATAAGCTATAATAATGTATGTGAAATATGCATAAATACGTGTTGATTTTCACAATAAACGATCTGTTGTCTGGCCCTTGTCTTCTGTTGTTGAGTATCAACAGAGTGTAATTCCATTGTGGGTAAAATTTGTTTTGATAAAGTCTCATAGTGTTATACAGTGATATTTACTGAGCAGTAATTTGTGCTCGAAACGTGGCCATCAGTAAATATCACTATATAACACCACTGTGAGACTTTATCAAAATAAATTTTACCCACAATGGAATTATACTCTACCACCACAGCGGACAAGTTCTATTCTTAGATAAACACAGTGATTTAACCACAATCTATGCATATCATTAATTATTTCGGTCTTCTAACCCTAAGAATAAACTTGTTCTTTCCTAAACTTGGCCTTAACGTGAAAATATGCCTAAACTAACTGTAATCTAACTTGAACCAACTTTCAAGTCGTAGATATTAGGTTAACGAAATCCTGATTTATCTTTGACGTAAAGAATAACTTAATCTTTCCCGAACCTAAGCTGAAACTTGCCAGACACACCATTCAATAGCATAATACTTCGATGAGCATATTTTATTGATGAGTGATGACAGCATTATCTGCCAGGTTTCACTGACTCGCTCAATGGGCGTGTCAAGGTCATTGGTATGGTCGTACTCCGCTGGTAGTAAGTGGTGCTTAAAGTTTAACTTGGCTTGCTGTGTCTAGCATAAAGAAGCCAATATAGTATTTTTTTTTTTCATTCTTCGTAAGCCAGTTAGCACGAAACAGGATGGGTCTGTCAATGTGAAGGAATTCATATCCCACCTTCTCATCGTAAAAATCGGAGTTATTTGGTTGAGAAGTTGATGACTTCAATACAGATCTGTTCTACTCTCTAATACAGAATAATGTTGATGTGAGTGGCATGCAACAAACTAATCGCCTTAATCAATAAATATTACTATTAGCTTATGCTTGGTTATTTGATGATATTAGATGGTTGGAAGCAATTGGCCAGAGGAGGCACTGGACCTAGGTTTCGTGCTAGTTGGCACCCACCAAACAGCAAGGCGTATCTTCAACCTTGAAGGGACGGCTCATATCCCTTCTAAGATTCAAATTCGCGTCACCCAGTGCCACCTGCAGCCAGAGACGTTACCAATGAGCTATTCGGGCCCGCGATTGACCTCCTGTAGGACTATAGTGGATATTTTGATTTGACACTAGTAACTAGTGTGATGTGTCTAGTCCTCTGGGTGATGCGGATTCGAATCTCAGAAGCAGGGATATGAGCTGTCGCTTCAAGGCTGAAGATACGCATTGCTGACTGGTGAGTGCTAACTAGCACGAAACCTAGGTCCAAGGCTTCCTGTAGCCGATCGCCTTCAACCATCTAATGCCATCAAATCAATGTGCACAATGATGGCGAGCTACCTAGAATGGTGGCCACAACCTGACTGATCGAATTCAGTAAACACCAAAGAAAGGACTAGACACATCACACTAGTTACCAGTGTCAAATCAAGATACTTGGTTACACTTGATTAAAATATGTGGTATCGAGCAGATCATATATTTCGATGCGGGTTGAGTCAAAACCAAGTAGACCACCGATGATCTAGTCTTCAAAAGGAGTGAAACATCCGTCTTGGGTTTCGATCACTTCGACCTGTCTGAGAAACCCACTCCCTCCTCCCCAACTCCCAAGACTGATGCGAGTAGTATACAACTAGTCATCTCAGTAAATAAGTAGTATGTAGTTTTGTGTGTTCATGATTGCTTTCTTGATTATTATTTGGGGTATTTAGCAGTAGTGCATATATTGTGATCTAAAATAGTCTCAGTTTTCTACGGAAACTTCACCTCAAACTCTGCGTGAACTGCAAAACTGAGAATTTTATTTGCAGAATAATGTACACGAAATTGCACCAAAGTATGCAGTACTGCACTATCATTTGTCCTATTAATCACAGAGGAGTAGCTTATTGATTAACACTTTGATGGATGGCTAACATCTTGACAATCATCTGATATGTGTAGATCAGTCCAATCCGAAAGTGAAAGCTAGTAAGTACACTAAGTGTAAAGATTAGAAAAATCTGTTCAGAAGACATGACAAAGAATAGGTATCCACAAAGATCCATAGACAAAAATATGAAAAGAAGCCTCCGTCGCCAAAAATTGCAACTGTTTCTTAGAAAACTCTCTACGTGAACTTAGAATTTCAAGGTGACATCAAAGCAAAATTTCTTAGGAACCACCTTTCTAAATGTCTGAAGAAGACATTTCAAGCAGCTTACCTATCACACTCCCCAGCAGACAAATCATCCAGTCAAGTATTAAGGATAAGCTACCGCTTTCAGCCACCTCAATGTGTATTTATCAGCTCACCTGTTAATGTGGAGCAAAGTGTATAGGCCATACGCTACGTCAAGTTCACAAACGTATTCTGGGACACCTATCCAGCCTAGCTAGCTAGCCAGAGGAGAAAAGAAGAATACCATCAGCTTTATCTTCGAGCACCTTGTCATATCCGGACATCGAACAACCCTCATGAATGCTTCACAGAGTCCCTCAATATCGTAAAAAGGGACTTCACATACGCCCTCTGTACATAGCTGAATCATTAGCTATTCGGAATTTGAAACCGGACCTCTGCATTCAAAAGCGCTACATACATTCACTTACCCTACCATGGTCAAAGTAAAGTTCTTACTATAATTTTGCTTATTTTATTATGTAAGTTTACTATTATTATTGTTATCATTACTATTATTTTATTATTATCATTATTATTCACATCATCCATATTTTATTATCACTCTATTACTGTTTATTAATAACACTGCATTTTCATACAGATTTTATATAAAAACACCTTATTGCCTTTCCACTAGTTCATTTCTATTCTACACGAGCTTATTGATTAGTCATTATCTCACACTTATTAGGTCATGCTAACTTCTGCCTCTTTTCTAACTTCCAATTAGTCATCCCGTCTAGGTTACACCTTACATTACGTAATAAATTTTTCGACGACAAATTTTACCAGAAGTATCTAACTGGTCTTATGATATCTTTGTTAAATATAATTACGATTATTGTAGAGCAGCCAATGAAAACGAATCGTCGGAAAGAGAATTTTCTTGGCTCACGGAAAATACCCATTTAGTCATGAAGAAAAGACAATGTCACCGCACCCCACCCCCCTATTACTCAATAATAGACCATTATACATTTTTCTAAGTATGAATACGACTGTACAGCCAGCCTCTGAAGATGATTTCGTCGATAAAGCAAAATTTTCTTCGCTGAATCTGTCTTTTATTTTCTTCAATTTTTTTGGCTGTTTACGTCTTTTTCTTAGTCATCAGTTTCGGGTGAAATCGATTACTTCAATACTGTTTTATTCAAGTGTTGATAGTGGTGACAATATGAAATTCATGAAATTCCAAACATGTCATACTGCAGAATCTAACAAGCAAGAGATTTAGATCCAAAATTTTCTGGTAATTGAATCTCTGCAAGATCTATCACTGCATTGTATCAAAACAGAAAAGGTCACTCCTCAATGACGAGTCATATATTGATGCGGAGGTTTCGACGATGCATTATGATGAACATGATGTTAAAATAATTAGTCCCTTTTATAAATTTTGAGAGCGTTATTAGAAGACGGAGGTTATCTGAAAAATGTCATGTGATGTATTTGTGCTATACATTTCGAACAATCTGATCCCTCACACATTTACTTGTCAAGTCAATATATATGAAAAAGTTAAATTAAACAAAGTAACAAAAAAAGAATTAGGAAAAATTAACACAAACGTTTGGTAATCCAATCAAATAAGGATTACCCAGGTAGGTTAAGACTAGTAACAAACCGTTTTTGAATATACAGGAGGGAGGCTTAAGCTTATGAATAGCTTTAGCCTCAGTGTATTTTAATAAGCGCCCTTGACCGTTTTAGTAGATGACCTTAAAGGCTGAGTTAACATCAGTCTTATGGCTCATCTCGATTAAGTGTTTAGCTATAGACGAAGTTGGTAGTCTGACACCTGCATCTATTGGTTTAC